CTCCATTGATGAAATGCGATGCTCATTGCTGGATGTAGGACACAAGTTGCGAACCCTGACTGCCGTTGACATTGCTCGTACCCAGAACATCTTTGAGAGCTTTGCATCGGCCAGTAGACATCGAGTCATCTCAGTTATCACCCTGTTGTACCTCTCTGCCACGCCATTCTGTTGCGGAGTATTAGGTACTTAAACTCCTGTTTCACCTGCATTTCTCTACAGAACATCCGAAAAGCATTCGACGAATACTCACCTCCGTTGTCAGTTCTCAAGCACTTCGGTGTTCCGTGCTCAGCTACAAAGTCTTTGAACTTCGAAAGAGTATCGCTCTTCTTAACCAGGTACTTGACCACTGCCAGACGGCTGAAGTCATCAATGAAGCTCACGGCATAGCGCGCTCCATGCATGCTCGCAACTTCAAATGGTCCCTGGATGTCGCTGAAGACCCGCTGCCCCACTGCAGTTGCCCTGTTCTCTGTCTTCTTTGGCATTGCTACTTCGTGCATCTTCGAAGCTGTGCACACTTCGCAGAACCCTAGCTCGCCGACATCAACAACTGATATTAGATCATGCTTGTTGAGATGCCCCAGCCTTCGGTGCCACAGCATTGCACTACTTGTCTCCATCTTCGCTTTCGTAGCTAGAGTCATCGCGTTCCTCTTGAACTTGCACTCCAGGAAGAAAAGCTTGCCGCGCTGCTTCACTGGTAGCCGTCGACCATCCGGTGCCACAAGATGAGAAGAGTCTGATGTAAAGCTGAAACTAGACCCTCTAGCTATTGCTGAGCTCACACTCATCAGATTCACGTTGTAGCTCGGCACAAACAGCACATTGTGGAAAGTGTAGCTCCTCGTCACATCTTGACAGTCTCGTATGTCCACTTCCACCGAGCCTATGCCCTCAATCTTTGATATTGTACCGTTCGGATTCTCAACTGTTGTCCCCTCATCCCATTTCTCAAAGCTTGAGAAGACAGCCTTGTCGCGCACTACATGATCGGTGCATCCCGTATCCACAATGAGATCATCTCCCTTCATTGAGGTTGTTGCACAACAACTGAAGAACCCTGTCTTTGCCTGCTTGCAGTCCCTTGCAAAGTGTCCTTGTTGTCCACACTTGAAGCACCCTTGCTTCCTTGAAGTTGGACCACTTGCTTCATTCGAGCCACTGCCTCGAGCACCAGATTGACCACTGTCACTTCTGGATCTGCAGTCTCTTGCCAAATGACCCTTCTGACCGCACACAAAACAGCCACCACCCGACGCTCCTTTCTTCTTCCTCACAGCTTGCATAGCTATGTGTCCATTCCCAGTCTTCTCTCCACATCGAGCTCGTCTCGAGTCATCATAGTTCCTCAACCTCGTTCTCAGCTCTGTAAAAGTCTTGGCCGGCTGGAAGCTCTCCTGCACCACGAAATGCTCAAAGCTGTCAGGCAGTCCGTTGATCACGAGCGCATTGAAGAGTGTGTCCGTAATTGCTTCCCCAGCTTCACTCAGCCGCGTCATCAGCTCTTGACTTCGAACGAAGTAGTCATCGAGATCCTCCTCTGATCCTAGGCGCAGCTTCGCAAGCTGGCCTACTAGACTGACCACTGTAGGCCTCTCCACACTGCAAAACTTCTCTTGCAGCAGTCTCCAGGCCTTCGTCCCATCGCCATAGCCATCCGCAGCCACGCAGTCGTTCTTGATGTACATCAGTGTGGTGTTGTTCAGGACCAGAGCTAGATGTGACCACACTGTGTTTCGGTTGTCTTTCCTCTGCTGGATCAGCACAGCTCGCTCCTGCATCTTGGTGTTGTACGCCGTCATCTGGTCAGCATTCGGATTCTCAGGTAGCGTAGGTTCAGCTTCTGGTAGATCGTCATTGCCCATCACAGTCCTGAACAGGCCTTTGGTATGCATCAGTGCCACAAACTTCGTCGACCAAGCTGGAAAATCTTCAGACTTTCCACTGAATCCAGCCAGTTTCAAGTCCATCTCTGCTTTGCTAAAGGCTAGATAAAAGCTAAAAAAAACTCTGACAGAAATCAAATAATTATTAAATCAAAAAGTTTAGAAATCTGGGCCCATAACCTGTTAAGATTCAGAGTTAGAGCAAGTAGGACTAGGGGATAGAGGTTTGAGAGTTATCTGAGGTTTCAACTGAGGAGAGAGAAGAGATACTGATTGTTGAAGAATGAATTGAGATTGTGTTTTTTAAAATGACACGACAAACTGAGCATCAAATAGTACCAGTTAATTAATTACCAGATAATTAATTAGTTTATCAAATACCAGCAGACCAGTTGACCTTGTCTGAGTGCATTGAGTTTTATACCAGTTGACCTTTAATTAGGTTTCTATTGCTCAAGTCTGACCTTGAGCTTGGTCTGGTATTTCACTAGTCTGGCATTGAGCTCGTCTGTCCTCAACAGTTATCTCTTCTATTTGCGAAGACTTGTAAGTTATATTTGGCAGTTGTTCCTAGACGCGCATCCCTCTGACTAGTGTAATTACACAGTTTCAACGGCTTAAGATTAAAAAAATCCAAGCTACTTGAACCAGAATAGTAATGCTCTCAGTGTGGCCTCTTATCTGGGCTGAAAACTACACTATTGTAATTTTCAAGTAATGACTAGGATATCTAAGATGAAAAACACCTATATATGCATGAGGTGTTTATTCAGACCAAAGTCCAAATAAAAATTTGCTTATTTGGGCGATCAATTCTTCGCTTCTCTTGCTTGTAGCGGGTGCTGCCATAACTATACTAATCTGAGTCTGCGGTCGCTCTGTAACGAGTCTATCAAAACAAATCGCTCGTTTAAAATTTTGATGCAGAAAGTGTAACAGACGGATTATATAAGCCTGGCAGCTTTACCCTCGCTAAAAAGTTGTTTCAAGTTAAACTGAGGCAGGCCTAAGGCAATCCAAATTTTAAAACTTGAATTTTCACCATCTCAAAGCTTTTAGTTAGTCAAATTTCATTAATCACAAACAATCCGAAACTAATGAAAGGATGGATTCATCAGCACTTTGCTCGGATATATACCAACAGTTCTTGCGGAAAACCATTTTAGATAATAGCAGTTAACTAAGTTTTCATTGCACGGTACGTTGTTAAAGTGAGGTAAGCTAAAAAAAAGATTGTACTAACGGAAAAAGCAGGGTAAACAGATTCGATTTGAAGAAATTATAATTGATCAATTTTAGCGCAGCTTCCAAATTAACTTCTCAAAAAAACTGCAATCTACTGAGTTATTAATTTTTTGTTTCCATAAACAAGCGACAGCTTGCAACTATCCACTACTCTCCGCTAACAATTGCTCGCTGCCTGCAATGAAAAAACAAGAAATATTTATCAGCGTCCGACAAGCAACGTACCCGATGCCAGGAAAAGTCTGAAAAATACAGAAATTCGAAATTATATATGAAAACAATGAGCTGGCTATAATATGGTGTGTTTTTTTTGCGTTTTTCTTCTTTTTATTTTCGGTACTGTAAATCGGTGGTATATAAACCAGCCGAAGTATAATCCAAATGAAGTAAGAACCAGCCACTATTAAATATTTATTAAATAGTGATTATGTAACAATGATGCAACAGTTACTATAGTCTTACAATTTCATTGATATGATCTAACTGTTCGGTTGGCTGGTGTATTCTGCGCATTTTTGGGTGACTTGTACTTCGGCTGGTTTAATCAATCTCTATATATCAAAGAATTTTTTTTATTTCTGCTTTTTGAGTTTTGTTTGCTTTCAACAGAAAGGTGCAAAACCTCCCGGCTGAAGTTGAAGCAACTTAGATACATTTTATTCAGTTTAGCTATCTCAGGTACCCCGCAGTTGTGAAAATTTTCTGTTCAGGGGTGCAACCAGGTGTGAACTTGTTCAGTTCAGGTAATACCATGTATACTTCAGGTGTGGGCTTGCTCAGTTCAGGTATGGTCATGTATCCTGTATGCGCGAGCATGTTCAGTTCAGGTGTGATCATATATCCTAGAAATTTGAGCAAGTTCAGTTCAGGAATGACCATGTATACTGCCGGTGTTAGTATGTTCAGATCATGCAAGATCATGTATCTTGAAGTTGTGAGCATGTTCAGTTCAGGTTTGATCAAGTATCCTGCAGGCGTTAGCATGTTCCGATCAGATATGATCATCTATACTCCAGGTGTTAGCATGTATGTGATGCAAGTCTGATGTAGATGCAAGTATGATGCTGAAAATAGACATTCTTCACGTCTGATACAGAAATGATGTTTTTATGATCTTACGATGATCAGATATAGACATGGAGAAAAAGTTTTTTCACGTTTTTTACAGGTTTAGTCATTTATGACTTTTTCACAAAATTTTGATTTTAACACAAAAAAACCTTCTGTGATTTTTTGTTCTTCTGAGTAAAAAGCTGAATATGGACTACGTTATGTATTAAAAGTAGAAATTTTCAAATATGACTGTAGAATTTCATTATAAAAGAATGCTAGTGATGCAATTCCCATATTTGATCATACAATTTCATTTTGTTTGACTGCTACTCGTACAATTCCAATATATGAAAATAAAAAATGTATGGACTTGTATGACTGGCATTTTTAGTATACAAAACCTCCGCAATATAAAACTTTGGGCAGTTTTTTGGGCAAAAGCGGGAACAAACTGTTGTACCATAGTTTTTTGGCACTCTTTTGAGAGTAGTATGTACAATAAGTAACCTCAAGCTCAGCGGTTCATTACTTGAAAAAGAAAAAATAATGAAATGACATGCTTTTTTCAGGCTCTTATTCTCATAAAAGCAGTCTAATTCTAATTTTTAGAAAGATATCTACGAAAGATATCATTTAATTTTATTTCCTTCAGATATCTTCATTGGTACTCGGATTCAGAAAAAACTGAAGAGCGAACAAGTTTTCAAATGCGTGATCTTGGATTAATTTTTGCTCAAAAATTGTAATCGTAAACAAAGATAATTAATCTCCAACTAACAAAAAAGCTGATCCAATTGAATTTGCCTCCAGGTTTCCGTGGTTGTTTCCGACGAAGTCCAGCAGTCATATGGCAGCAGTTGATCAACTTCAGCTTCGGCTATCTCTCAGTTGACTTCTGCATCAGCCACTGTGAGAGGAATGGTTATATGCTAGCGGGCATCCAAAGTCCCAGGTGAACAAACAACTAAACTCTTCCAATTTTTGTTGAATCACGTCGAAGTGTTTGTTTTTTGAACAACTAAATTTAGTTCTAAAATCAATTTTATACTGAACAATATGGTTGTTCCATGCTGTTATCTGTTATTTTTTTCAGATGAAGTATATCTTTTTGGTAAAATGTATGGGAAGTCCATTTAAAATTTGAATCTTTAATTTAAAACATTTTGCTGGATCTGAAATTTCTTTTTTGTGTTCTGCTCTAAAAAGCATACGTTTTTTGTTCCTGTACTTAAGTCACAGTACATCACACTTTTTCCAGCTCGTGTGGCTGTGAGAACATCTCCCCCTCCCTCCACTTACACGACGGAGTGGACCCCGCCCACTGCATGTTGGTCTGTGTGGACAAGCAGTCGTGTGGGGGTCCAGGGTATGTGTCAGTGTACAGGACCAAAAGCCTCAGACACATTTGCTCATCATCCGAATCAACTCCTCAAGGTAGTTATAGGTTTTTTTTCAAAACTAACGAACCTGAAGTTTTTTTTTATAATTTTGGCACTAGTTATGATTATTTCACATAAGTTTTATTAACTTTTTAAATTACTTTGAGCTGTTTTAATTTACTTTGATTTGTTTTAATTTACTTTGAACCGAGAGTTGTAAAAAAATTTATCATTATCAAATTCATTTGAAACCTAATTTTAGATGCGATTTCTCAAAACGTGAAAGAGAGCCCAGCCTACCTTCTAGGGGTCAAGGGGTCGGGTACCTCTTGGATATCTACTCTAATCCGAAGCAGCATCGGGCTGGATGACCGAACGAAGGAATCTATCACTCTTTTCAACCATCAAATACTACAGGCAACTCACGAACTAGACTCCATGGTTCTCGTAGATCCGAAGACTAAAGTCGTCGTTCTGTTACGTAATCCTTACGCAACTTTCCTGTCAATGTTTCGTAGGAAAATTGAAGCTGAAAATAACATGGATACACATCATACGTATCTAGACTCGAAGATTTTAGGGGATTACGGGTGGGAGATGTTTGTCAGTGAAATAATGCGGAGCTGGGACGTGCAATACAAGTTTTGGATCTCAAATGTCAAAAGGGAAAATTCGATGATCATCTACTATGAGGATTTTTTGGTGAACCCAGTTGGACAAATTTCAAGGTAATTTTTTTGATTTGAGGGTGTATGTTTTTTTCAAAGTTTTCTTTCTGATTTGAGAACTGTATGTTTTCTTTCAAAAAAAAGTAACTGTTTGCTTTACACTTAACAATGAAAAATATTTAAAATATCACGGTTGATAGAACTAACTAATTAATTTAATTCAAAGTCACCAATTAGATCCGTTTTTGACATTTTTGTTCCGACTTTCGACAAAACAGCGGTCGAATTGTGCTATTTGTGTTATTTCTCCAAGCTATTTTTTTATTGAAATTAATTCGGACAATAACTGTCAGTCTATTTTTCAGTAGAAATGCCCTGAATCTCAATGCCCTGGGTTTTCACTGTGAACGTGGTTTACAAAAAAGGGTTTGGCGATTTCGCAATTAATTTCCCCAAATCAACAACCTCTAAGCTCTTCCCCAAACTTCCTCAATGAACTGATTCGAATGGAATAATAGTTTACTAAACGCCGTAAGTTACGTTACTTCGTACTTAGTATTGCGGTTGGAAGGAGTTTAGAATTTTTCCCAAAATGAAACAAAAATTTGTGGCTGATGTCACTTATCTCATTTTAAAGCAAAAATTAAATTTTTGTATCAGTTAGGCGTGAAAAATAGGACAACCCACTGGGCATGAAAAATTTTCTTTCAGTCAGCCTGCCATGCTATCTATTTTTTACTGGACCAGTTTAAGAACTTTCCTATCCAAACAGAGCCCTCTTGATGTCCTATAGTCTCGATCTACATAAAAAAAAGCTGGTATCAGCTTAAAACTTCGCATATTCAGACTGGGATATTATAGAAACTTTGTGCTATATTATAAACCTTGTTGTTCTACACATTTTAATCTTCATAGTGTTATGAATTAGAGAGTAAGTACTTTCAAATATAGAACACAAATAAAACGGATGAAAAGCTTCTTTTTAGTTTGATTTTCCGAATATTTTTCAATTATAAGCTGTTCTTAGAGATCAAGTTTTCATTTTCCAACTCAACAAAAAAGAACAACAACACTCAAATTATTGGAAATAGTCCAGGTCAACCTTTGAACAAAAAAATTGTGAGTATCAGCTTGTAATACTTGAAAACATTTGGTTAAAACTTGAATAATAAAATAATTTTAATAAGAAATGAGACTGCTGGTATATTGAAATGAAGTCACAAATTTTGACATCATTTTATTAGGTCATCATAGTTTTTGTTCAAAAATTTTGATACAAACTAGATTTTGATCTGCCAATATCAAATATTTTGTTAAGATTTGAATCCTTTCAGAAAGTCATTTCGCTAGATTTTTGTGGGCAAAGTAACAACCCGTGTGACGCTTACACTTTACTTGGACTCAACGATAAATCCTGATAGTGCGTAGCAAACCCGCTTGCGAACCTATGATTGCCAGATTCAATATTCATTTTTCAAAATTTTTGATAATTTGGTCTCAAGAAAAAAACAACCCAAAATTTTTTTGTTGTTTGGGAAAATCGGAACCAAAGCTTGCTCGTATATCACTTCAAAACTGTGCAACTTCCGATGACCTGTCATTTGTCTGATATAGCTCTGGTGAAGAAAAAAATCTTGATTTGCTGTAGAATTTGAAGTTTTTTTCGTTCCAGGGAGTCAAAACAGAAGAAATAAAAGATAAAATTTGAGTCATGTAGGGACCTAATACGACCATGATCTTGGTTCAAGTCAAATTGGAGATGGCTGGAGCGTAGGACATTTCAGCAGGCATGAAAGATGTTCGTTACGTTTTCTGTCTGCCTGCCATGCTATCTGTTTTTTGTTGACCAGTTTAAGAACTTGCCTATCCAAACAGAGTCCTCATAATGTCTTAGTCTCGATCTACATATAAAATTTGCTGGTATCAGCTCAAAATTTCGCATATTCCGACTGGGATATTAGAGAAATTTTGAGTTATATTATAGACATTTTTGTTCTACACATTTTAATCTTCATAGTGTTGTCAATTAGAGAGTAAGTATTTCAAATAAAGAACACAAAATAAAACGAATGAACAAATTTTGACATCATTTTATTAGGTCATCATAGCTTTTGCACAGTTCGGAGTAGTTTGCTTTTCCGAACTGTGCAACTTCCGATGACCTGTCATTTGTCTGATATAGTTCTGGTGAAGAAAGAAATCTTGATTTGCTGTAGAATTTGAAGTTTTTTGTCGTTCCAGGGAGTAAAAACAGAAGAAATAAAAGATAAAATTTGAGTCATGTAGGGACCTAATACGACCATGATCTTGGTTCAAGTCAAATTGGAGATGGCTGGAGCGTAGGACATTTCAGCAGGCTTGAAAGATGTTCGTTACGTTTTCTGTCTGCCTGCCATGCTATCTGTTTTTTGTTGACCAGTTTAAGAACTTGCCTATCCAAACAGAGTCCTCATAATGTCTTAGTCTCGATCTACATATAAAATTTGCTGGTATCAGCTCAAAATTTCGCATATTCCGACTGGGATATTAGAGAAGTTTTGAGTTATATTATAGACATTTTTGTTCTACACATTTTAATCTTCATAGTGTTGTCAATTAGAGAGTAAGTATTTCAAATAAAGAACACAAAATAAAACGAATGAAAAGCTTAATTTTAGTTTGCTTTTCCGAATAATTTTCAATTATAAGCTGTGCTTAGAGATCAAGTTATCAATTTCCAACTCAACAAAAAAGAACAACAACAATCAAATTATTGGAAATAGTTCATGTCAACCTTTGAACAAAAAAAGTGTAAGTATCAGCTTGTAATACTTGAAAATGTTTGGTTAAAACTCGAATAATCAAATAATTTTAGTAAGAAATGAGACTGCTCGTATATTGAAATGAATTCACTAACTTTGATTGCATTTTAGTAGGTCATCATATTTTTGGATGAAAAATTTTGATACGAACTAGATTTTGATCTGGCAATATCAAATGTTTTGTTAAGATTTGAATCCTTTAAGAAAATCATTTCGCTAGATTTTTGTGGGCAGAGTAACAACCCGTGTGAAGCTTACACTTTACTTGGATTCAACGAAAAACAATGATTGCCAAGCTTGATATCCATTCTTCAAAATGTTTGATAAATTGGTTTAAAAAAAAAACACCCAAAAAAATTTTTTTGTTTGAGAAAATCGGAACAAACGCTTGCTCATATATCACTTCAAAATTGTGCAACTTCCTATGCCCTGTCATTTGTCTTATATAGCTTTGGTGAAAAAAGAAATCGTGATTTGCTATAGATTTTGAAGTTTTTTTGTCGCTCCAATGAGTCAAAACCGATTAATTGAAAGATAAAATTTGAGTCATGTAGGGAACTAATACGACCATGATCTTGCTTCAAGTCAAATTGAAGATAGCTGGAACGTAGGGCATTTCGGTAGGCTTGAAAAATTTTCCTTACATTTACTGTCTGCCTGTCATGCTATCTGTTTTTTTGGACCAGTTTAAGAACTTGCCTATCCAAACAGAGTCCTCATAATGTCGTTAGTCTCGATTCACATTAAAAAAAAGCTGGTATTATTTCAAAGTTTTGCATATTCAGACTGGGTTTTTATAGAAACTTTGAGTTATTTATTAGAAATTTTTTTCTACACATTTTAATCTTCATAGTGTTATGAATTAGAGAGTAAGTACTTTCAAAGATAGAACGAAAATTAAAACGAATGAAAAGCTTCTTTTTAGTTTGCTTTTCCGAATTGTTTTCAAGTATAAACAAGTTTGAACAAGTATTCTTAGAGATCAAATTATCCTTCTTCGAACTCAACAAGTTGAACAACAACACTCAAATTATGGAAAAAAGTGCAAGTTAACCATTGAACAAAAAAATTATAAGTATAAGCTTGTAATACTTGAAAATTTTTGGTTAAAACTCGAATCATAAAATAGTTTCAATAAAAAATGAGACTGCTCGTATAATGATATGAAGTCACTAATTTTGACTGCGTTTTAGTAGGTCATCATAATTTTTGTTGAAAAATTTTGATACAAACTAGATTTTGATCTGCCAATATCAAATGTTGTGTTAGGTTTTGAGTCCTTTAAGAAAATCATTTTGCTAGATTTTTGTGGGCAGAGTAACAACCCGTGTTACGCTTACACTTAACTTGGACTCAACGATAAGTATTGATACTGTGTAGCAAACCCGCTTGTGAACCCATGATTGCCAGGTTCGATATCCATTCTTCAAAATTTCTGATAAACTGGTCTCAAGAAAAACACCCCAAAGAAAATTTTTTTTGTTTGGAAAAATCGGAACAAACGCTTGCTCGTATCCCACTTCAAAACTGTGCAACTTCCGATGCCCTGTCATTTGTCTGATATAGCTTTGGTGAAGAAAAAAAATCATGATTTGCTGTAGTTTTGAAGTTTTTTTGTCGTTCCAAGGAGTCAAAACAGAATAATTGAAAGATAAAATCGGAGTCATGTAGGGAGCTAATACGACCATGATCTTGCTTCAAGTCAAATTTGAGATAGCTGGAGCGTAGGACATTTCAGCAGGCAAGAAGGATTTTCCTTGCGTTATCAGTCTGCCTGCCATGCAATCTGCTTTTTTACTGGACCAGTTTAAGAACTTGCCTATCCAAACAGAGTTATCATGATGTCCTTTAGTCTCGATCTACATAAAAAAATGCTGATATCAGCTCAAACTTGGCTTATTCAGACTGTCTGTCAGTTTACATGAACTTTTTGGCAAAAAAAAATGGTGACTGTTTGTCCAATGCCAAAAAGAGCATATAAATTAGGTTACTTTTCCAAAATTTAAAATCATAAAGGTGCGCGCAGCTGATTCGAGAACAACTTGGTTCTTGTTAACAATTAACCATTGGCGCCTAAGTTTTTAGAGTAGAGAGAACTTGATTAAGGATTAGAATAGTTTACGTCGATTAGTTTAAATCAACTCTTTGAAGCACAAAAAAAAACAAATGCTCTTTTTCCGCCCCCCCCCCAGCCGCCCGCCCCCACATCTGAAACCCGATTAGGTCATTACAAACGCATTTAATCTTCGTATTTAATCTTGTAAAGTCCTTCTTTACTCCATAAAATTGACGTTTAAATGAGCTGGGGGAATAAAAAGAGCCAAAGCGAAATAATTCTAATCTGGTTGCAATATGTCATGTTGAAAATCACCTTTTTTTCAAGTTTTGATATTTTCAGGATGCTTCGATTCTTACAAGTCAAATTCAATTCGCAACGCCTACTGTGCACACTTGAAAACTACGTGCGAAAATACAACCCGGATGTGTCGACTTTCCTTCCGTACAGCAGAAACGACACGGCAAGAATTCAAAATTTGGTGGATTCGGTATCATTAGAAATTACCAGAAGAAACTTTATGCCGATGCCTCTGTACACGTTTGAAAACCGAACTTCAAGGCTGGAGCAAAGTAAGAATCCGAAACACAAAGCCTACTACAATGGCCAGAAGAAAGATCTCTAACTTAAGGAATGTCTCAGATTTGCAGTAATTAAATAATCTAAAGAACTATCAAACAAAATGTCTTTTTGAAACCAAGAAAATTATATTTGCATAGAAGGCTAAAAAATCAGTTTGAGCGGAATGCTATATCTAGATCGATGTCTGCAACTTATGGCCAGGCTTTCTAAGTCGCGTCAACTTCATTCTAGAGCCTAAACATAGTTCTTATATTAGCTCTTAATGCTCGATGGCAAAGTTTAGTCATATCACCCACAGTTATAGTAGCCTGAAAAAGTCACAAAATGGTGAAAAAATGACGTGAAACCCAAATTAGTCTGGGTTGGCGGAAATTAAGCGCTGAAGCCTGGACACAAATTGTGGACCTCTGCCCGGGTAACAGATCTCTTTGGTGCATGGTGAACCTCCATACCGAAAAAAAAACATATACTTCCCTTTTTTAGTAGGTGCGGGGTTATTATTATACCAAAAATGAGTTTCAGCAGTACAGAGTAACGGAGAATAGAGTTTAAAAACAAAAGAAAAAACTCAATTGGCCGATAATTAACTGAAATTAAAATACTATATCAAAATAATAGACGCTATACATATCGTAGAAGAACGTTGTTTTAGTTCCTCAATATGAACTCATTTCTTCAAAGTGAACTGACATATTTTACCAGATTCTTCGGTAGCAAATTTCGTCTTTTCAATTACGTAATCATTGTCCAAGAACTTTTGAATCAATTCCAAGCACGAAACTTCCGAAATTTTTTCAAAATCTTCACTTGATGCGCGTGTTATCATATCACTGTTGGCTATTTTAGCCGAAAACTTCATCTCTAGAATTTGAAGAATGTCCTTGGCGTTTCCGGAAATGAACCATTGGTCTTTTTTCACGGCTTCATTAGTCCCTGTGTGAACAATACTTTCAATCAAAATTGAGTTTTCTGTATTATGTGAAGATTTATTTTCGTCTTCAGTTTTTGTTACGTAGGGTTTGTTTTCCGCGCCGAGAATTAGTTGAATTTTACTCTCCAATTCAGAAATTTCGAAATAATGTGCTTCGTCTAAGAGACCACTGATCATCGGGGATTCTTTCGTTAAGAAAACCGAATCTGTTCTCAAAAAGTTTAGAATATATCGAAACAATTTTCCGTCGCGATCAATGAAGTAATGCTGTTTCAACGAATCCAAGACAATAGGAATTTTGCCATTGAACATTTTACCCAATTTTGAGTTGGGGTATTTTGTCAGGGTTTGAAGAGTTGTAGTATATGCAGTGCCTCCAACGTCTATGTGAACTGGGGCGTTCAGTCGAGTTAATTGAGCGGGTACTGGAACTCCACCGGGTGTTAGTGAGGGCGGGTTGGTCGGGTTCAAGTGGGGTTGGATGGGGGAGGGCGATTTGGAATGGATGGATCCGTTGGAGTGACTGCCACTTGATTTCAAACTTGAGCTGCTCGACCCGTTTTGGGAATTAGGAGACAGTTGTTCGTCTTTGATGCCGTTGATGGAATCTCCTGAAAAGAAAAGGTTTTAGTAATTAAGAAATTTATCAATGAGGGAAACGGCAATTCATAAGCTTCTTAGCTCATAACGGCAATCTGCTGCGAACCTTTTATTCAAACCCTCGAATTGTTTTTTTTTGCTGAGAATTGATGCCTTAACCGCAACGAGTTGCACCAAGTTAGGATGATATATGCTTATGCGAGGAAATGTTTTCCCCATATTCAGGTTCTGTTTGGAAAACTGCAAATCAACACTAAATGTTGTTGAGTATTTTAGACAATTCAGTTTATAAGGAAAACATCAAAAAATAATTACTTGCGGTAATGATTATCAAATTTTGTCAAAAAAAAACTTTGTCGAAAAAAATGCAGACGAAAAAGTTTAAAAAACTAACCTCGCTCTGTGATCGTTTTGATGACGGAGTCTCTCCTCTCCAGATCTCGAGCCAACTGATCGGTGTCTGGACGCTCTTTGAAGTGGAAACTGCGTCGGTTTCTCGCAATTTTTGCATCCGGCACTCCCAGACTTGATGTCGACTCTGTTGCAATCATCGAGTTGTTCGTCTGACTTCGCTGCAAAACCGACTGCGTGTTTCCGGCTCCAAAAGTGGCGAGTAACTCCGAGTAATTCAGAATATTCCTTCGGTCGGCAATACCGTTTGAACCCGAGTTTGAGTTTAGAATTCCAGGAAGAAGATAAACCGATGACATGGAATTAGTTCCAGACTGGGATATAGGAGGCGAGAGGTTCCGCGGCTCCTGGGATGCGTTGGAGGTGTTAGATCCGCTCATTTGCAGGTTCTGGTAGATGGCAGCTGCAGCTGCTGCCATTGCACTTGGAGAGTTTATCATCTTGATTCTGTTTCTTTATCGAATTAGTCAAACAGAGCTGGAAATTAAAACAAGTTTTGGTGAATAAAACAGGCTGAGACAGTTTAAGAAAACCAAAAAATTCGAAAACTCCGTCATTAGGAAGTTTTGCGTACTAAAAAAGATAAGCCTCATTTAGATGGCAAAAAATTGATTCAAATACATTTTTACTTTTCAGATGCTTTTTCAGAATGACGTGAACAATTTTTTTGCGATGTGTGAAATCATAATCACATAGAGATGATGCCCAAAAAAGCTTGAATTTTTCTGACGTCTTTTCAAAATGGGATGATACTTGTAACACTAAGATGTGACTTTTTTCGCGCGGATGATTCGTAAAAAATTATCAACACTTACCTCTGTTTCTTTGTATGCAAGGAAGTTTGTATAACTCGGTCAAATTCAGACAAGTAATTGATTTTTAGTTTATAAATTTGATTCAAATAGAAATAATGTTATTTTTTTTGCGGGTTTTAATCACTGCTGCTATTTTCTCGAAGCTACTGTTGAAAAAAGGATTCCCAATTTTTTTGGTTTCTATCTCGTCCCGGATTTTGAAGTTACTATATCTGTGCACGTTTTAATGTTGCAGATCGGGGCGGCTGTGTTCAGAACCGGAGGCTAAAAGCAAGAGGAGCCATATGTGTGTAGTGCAGCAATGAGCAAAAATTGTAGTGACGCTTAGGGCTACGAATAAATAATACTACGTTGCTGTGCGTGGCGGTGGACCTAGCTAGACGCCGCCGGCCCCAAATCCCCCATTTCAACCGAGCTCAACTCCTAATTCCCGGCTGGAGCAAAATGTATGCTCCCAGTGCTGTTCCTGTCATAATTAAAAATTCATTCCCAGCTAACATAAATTATTATTAAATTGGACTTTTAAAAATGACGTTTTATGAAAAAAAAAGATCAAAAATGTAAGCAACAACTAAATTGTTCATTTTGTTTAGTTTTTGCAGTTACATCATTAAATAGTCATGTTTTGAATAAAGTTTTCAAAAGTTTTCTCTTCGAAAATAGCGTGCTGTTCGAACTATTTTAGGTTAATTGAACCGTTTCTTTACTGCGCGATTTGTGCCCGCGCAATTTAGTTTCACCCGGGGCCATCTGCCTATTTGCACGGGGGACCCATATAACCCACTGAAATAGGGACCCTCGGGCCATTCTGAGATGCTTCATTTCCACTATACGCGCGTATGGTTCCCTTCTCTTCTGGAATCCAATTCGGGGGCAAGCGGGAATCATAAATCCTATCTAGCCTCGAGAGGTATTCTACTGCTACGACTTCCCCTAATACGACCACAGGCACACAAAATCAGTCACGTGTTCTCAGAGAATAAATCTTAATAAATCTTCAATTTAAAAACAGAAGACATTTTATAACCAAAACGCCTAAACTCTTTCAATATTCGGAAAAAAAAATTGTAGAAAAAAGTTAAAACTTTCTACGAAACCATTTTTTGGAAAGAAAAAATTTGCTCAGAATCTGAAAAACATAAAAAACAACTGAAAGCGATACGATTAAATTACTTTGTGATGCTGGTATTAAACTCACCTAATAGTGATCTATCATCCAGAGTTTCAAATGGTTTGAAGTCAGCTTTTATACAATTTTTCGAAAGTTATTGACGAGATAAAATCCAATTTAAAGTTTAAGAAAGTGGCTGATTTTTTGAATTGATGCTTTTTTGCAAACTAATTGATAGCGTCAGCAATATGAATAGAGCGGAAATAGGAAAAAATAAATTGAAAACTGCCGTAATTTCAAAGGTGAGGCACAAACAAACAAGAGGGAAAATGCCTGAGGCTGCGTTGAAATTATTCGCAGCGAAGCAACGATGATTTCTAAGCCCGAGGCGGATTCGAACTGCGGTTCAGTAGTTAGTTATAAGCCCCGATTATGAGCGCAGTGCGTTCTTTAATTTTGTTCACAAAGCCTCGAGCTCAGCAAATTTTGTTCAACAAACGCTAAAAATTTCAAGTTGTGCCGAATGTAAGTAATGTAATATTGATGAGCGGCTGCAAGAATAAATTTGTACCTTTTGAGAGAAAATGAGAAAAAAACAACCTGGCTTGGGGCTGAATTAATTTTGCCAACAGATCAATCAAAATTTTTCACGCAATTGGCCCAAGGCTGTCCATTTAATAAACTCAGAAAATACCGCCGGAAAACACGAAAAAATATATAACCAATCTTAAAATGTTGTAGAGTTATTAGCGCAGAGCGCAGCTTTGAGTTTAAATCGCGAGCTGAATTTAGATTGCCGAAGGCTGAGCGCGAGCGACGACTATCATCAATTTGATTTGGACCTGGAGGCTAGAATTCTGTCGTTTGTTGAGTTGTTTCTGACGCATTTCCCTCCCCCGGCCCAAATTAGAGGGGATTATTTATAACCGCAGTTAGTTAAATATTTTGGAGGTTTTCAAAGCCTACAAACAGAACGATTTTTCCATGCTATTTTATAGGGAAAACCAACAAATTGAATATTCATCACAAGACAAATTTGAATGTTTACTTAAAAAAACTTAAATCATTTCAAAAAAAAACTATCAAGAAATGTCAAAATGCTGAATATTAATGCACCGGTTAATAAACGACACCAAATAAGCAACCTGAAACTTAAAGCCCATTTTGAACCCTCAGATGTTATCTGCAAAACATCGATTGTTGTCTGCAAAACATCCGAAACAAATTTTAAAAAAGGATGAAAAATTATGAATCAGTTTGAGGTCATGACATCACGCTTAAAGCCGATTGGATGGTCAGATTTCCTTAATTGGAACATACCATGAAAAAAATAAAGTAGGTATTAAATGGATATTGATTGCGTGTAACTGCTCTCTTCCTTAATATGAGAGATGTCCACTTATACAGGGAAATAAACGAAGCATGTCATTAAAATATCCAATCTAACTCTGTTGGAAAGTTAATGTTTGAAAAAATTAATAAAAAATTTTATGAATATTTCATGAGTCAGATTCATTCAGCGCAACAAATGTTTTGATTTCGAGTCCTCAATTTCAATTTAATTTCAACGAAACCATCAAAATTGTGCAGTGAGAAAAACCTTATGGAATTTAAAACACGGATTGTGTTTGAGCTTATTACAAAAACCATGCTCGCATAAAGCATAATAGCACATTCTTGCAGGATAACAACCATTACTTGATCATCTTTCTTAATTTTTTGCACCTTATAAACGAAAAGTAGTCACCCGTCGCCATGTTTGAAAAGCTTCTCAAAGTGGTGACCAAGTCGGCTCCCGGAAACGACAACGACTTCGCGGACAGACTCAACTACAGATACACTGCTGCAGTGTACATGCTCATGTCCATGGCTGTCATCGGCAGGTCATACATTGCAGACCCCATCAAGTGAGCATACAAAGAATGAAGTTTACAGTAAGAACCTCAATTGTAATGAACCTCAATTGAGAGGTCGGTGGTTCGAGGCCGACCATGATCCATCGTTTCTTTAGTGCGTGCACCAAGACAGTACAAAAATATGTAGTTAATAGCCAGGAACATAGCCGATTTGCGATATGCGTACACCATTACTTTATAGTAATCAAATGCAGGTGATTAATGTATTTTACTTTGACGTCTGGGCAGCTATATTTTTGACATGTTATTAAGAGCGAAGGAAAATTGTGATTGAAGTACCCTGCCTGCCTAACATAATGTTTTCTCGCTTCTTTGAAAATTGTAATTTTATTATGAGGAAAAATTGAGCGTTCAATAAACCATCAATTCTTACCAATCTTTTGGTCTGTCGTTTCTGGAAATAAGAAAAATGATAAAGCTCGCGGTAATTTCAGAAATACAATATTAGTTTTCAAAAAACTAGCACTTGGAAAAACGCTGCACATAGTTTTACGACCATATTCTTCATAAAAATACCTAAAAAGTTTTTCATGTTTTTTTTCTTCAAATTAATGTTGTTTTTTGTGCATGGTGTGATGAAAGCATCATAAGAAAACCTAAAATTAAGGTATAATTGACACTCACAGTAAAACAGGCAACCCGGGAAACGGTTTTTGTCGAAAACTGACTAGAAAAAAAAACAAATTTCATTTTTCTATTTTTTTTCTATTTTTTTTGAATAAAAAAATTGTCATTTTTTGAAGTTTACTATTCCAATAATGGTCTAACAAAATTTCAGAACTTTTTCATACTAGAATAGATTTTAAGTTTCACGGCTTATTCTTCTGTATAATGCCTACTCGCTTGTTTCACTCGCTCAAAATTAGACTACAATTCAAACCGGTTCTTCTCGAAACTTTTTGAAAAATTTTCAATATTGCTCGAATCAAGACTGAAAAAGTTTAACCTTATAAAACAGTCCACCCATTGCGATGATTATTTGAGGTTTAAAATTTTTGGTTGCCAGCTCCCACCCTTTAGTGCTCTAAAATAGAAACTCAATATATACTCAAACTGGTTTTTCTCTATACTGAAGTATTTTTTTTTTCATTTTTTCAAAATGTTGCTCGAGTCACAACTAAAAGGGCTATAATATGATGTATCACTCGACCAATTCCGATGATTATTTGTGGTATCTGATTTTGCGTGGAAAACAAAAAAAAAGAAAAAAGTCAAACACACCCGCAATGGTCGGAGTGAACAAGCAAAATTGAGTCTCAGTTGAATGTGACAGATTGAAATAGGCTTAAATGTTAAAGTTAGAGAGAGTCGAAATAAGGCCACGCAGAAACGTAGACATTCCGACAAAAAACTTTCTCGACTTTTTATTGAAACTTCAATCATGACTAGATCTTATGACAGCAATTAAACTAAAACTCAAACCAGTTCTTCTCGACACTTTCACTTTTTTCAAATCAGTTTGAATGAAGACCGATAGAGCTTTAATACAATAAATCACTCCACCCATTACAATGATTGATTGTGGTAAAAGTTTTTGGTTGCCAGCTCGCTCCCCTTAGCGGAAATAGCGCAGAGTCGGATTAATCAACGCCGGCCGAATTATCAGAACATTTAAGCTCGAACCTATCTCGCAATATTATTTTTTCGCTTAGAATCAATTAAGTGGCAATTTAGTTTCAGATTTTAACGTTTTATTGGGAAAATTATTTCTGAAGCAGTGGTTAAGTTATTACCACTTTGATTATATGCTTCAAAAATTTGGTTGGAGTCCCACAATTTACACACAAGTAATTACCAAGTAAAAAGGCGCTATTGCTTTGTCTAATGGTCTAACCATTGCAAATGGATCAAACTGAAGCAATAAAATTGCCCTGATAGAATTTCTGCCTCACTTTAAACAGTATCTTTTGGTTTTTGATTTAAAACATGGGACGGATAACGAAAAAAAAATCATCAAAAAAATTCGAGAAAAACTATTTGGAGTCGGATTTTTTCTCACTTTCTTAAGTACTGTTGAACTGTAATTAATAAATTCAAAAGCATTATTACTTCAAGTATAAGACTCCTTACTTTCTACACTGCCTAAGCAAAATGATTGATTTTTTTTGGTTTCAATGGTTTCAATTTTTTGAGATTTTCTTATTTTGAGTAAGTGGAGCGCTCGAGTGATACATGCAAACTAAACTAAGAAACATTTATTTTACTAGAAAGGAAACTCGTTATGGAAGCTTCCTTTAGCGCTTTCTTGGCAAAAAAAGTTTAAAGTTATTGTGCGAAAAAAAAATAGTTTTAGAAAAGTGTTTATGAAAGTAACATTGTCCAAAAAAAATTAGAACTAATTTAAGAAAAGATTTGTTTTGAAAATTTTTTGCTTTAGTTTGTCATTCATTTTTTTAAAATAAACTCTTGAGCTTTCTAAAGAATTTCATAGTTCTTTCCTCACATGACGCACTAAAAACAATAATCACGCACTCTACCGAGTTTCAAAAATAAAATATACCTTTGATTCCAGTTTATCAAAGTTTTTCAAAAATTCAAGTAAATTTGAGACATTTTCTGTCGCATACTTTGATACTTTTGGCACAGTAACTGGTAGCTCTGAAATTCGTGCCATGTTTTTCAGATGTTGGACCCCTTCGTACTTCCAGGAGGCGTGGGTGGACTACACTAACAATCTGTGCTTCGTCCAGAGTACCTACTACATCCCCATGAAGGTTCCTCTTGGTGCAGACGAGGCGCCTCGGATCAGGGCTGAGAACGAGATCACATACTACCAGTGGATTCCGCTATTCTTCATGTGTCTAGGTGAGAGAGGCAAAATCATGACAAAACAAGGGTATAAAACTCAGTTTCATCAGAAGACACTTTCCGATCATACTCTTAAGAAAACTACCAAAAAAGAAATAGGGTCGTTTTTTCGATTTTTTTTTCGAGTTAGGGTAGTTTTTTTTGTGCCTGGTATGATAAAATAATCTGAACAAAAGCCTAGAACTTAGGCATTGTCGATAGTCATAATCAATTAGGTATAATGGGCATCAGTTTCTTTGAAATGTGATAAAAAAATTTAAAAAAATCAAAAATTGTTTTCTTTTTTTTTGAATTTTTTTACACATATATTTTCGAATTTTTGAAATTTTTTATTGCCAAGACGACATAATATTTTTTCAAAAACTAACTTTACTGGAATATAACTAAGTTTTGAGTGCTTAGACAACTAGTTTCAAAATACTTTTTCTATATGTCGTTCCAATCACGACTGAAAGGGCTTTGTTATGATATATCACTCGACCCATTCCGATGACTATTTGTACCTAATTTTGCATGGTCAGCAAAAAACAGAAAAATAAAGATAGCTGGTTACTGTGCAAGAGAAACAGAACGTACCGGGCTGAGTCTTAAAAAATACATTCTTTTTTCAAATTATTGTCATTTTTTCTGCGCGATGTGATAAAAAGATATGAACGAATTATAAAATTTAGGCAGATTCGACAATCATAGCAATTTCAGCCAATTGAAAATCAATTTTTAAAGGAAATTGACGAGAAAAAAAATCGAAAACAAAAATTTTTTTTATTCTGCAGAAAGTTTTTTTATAGAAACTTTTTGAATTTTTGAAATTTTCGATGCAGAAAGCTTTTTTTTGCAGAAATTTTTTGAATTTTTGAAGTTTTTGATTCCTAAAACAGTGCTAAAAAACTGCAACAACTAAAATTGTACTCGAAAAAAATACGAAAAATAAGCCTGGACGCTCTTCTTATTAGCTCGAAATTAGAAGAAAAAACAAAAAGTCAAACCGGTTCTCGACGCTGAGAAAATTTTTTCAAAATTCTTCAAAGTTGTTCGAATCACGACTGAAAGGACTTTACCATGATATATCACTCAACCCAGTCGAATGATTGTTTGTGGTACCTGATTTTGCATAGAAAACAAAAAACAGTTAAAAGAAGGGAAAAAAAACTAAAACACCTGAATACAAACTTCCTACCCATTTTCAATTTTGGGAACAGCAAATTCTGAAGTCCAATAGCCGAGAAGTCAGGGATTACCTAAATTGTTATTTTGTGGTGTGCGTACTTTTCGATGCAATTAAAATGATACAAAATAATTTCAGATCATTCAACATTCAGAATTGAGTTTTTCAGATTTGACTTGAAACTAAACTTGAACTTTTTGATTCTGTGTTTGTTTCTCTGCAGCCATGTGTTTCTACGTGCCCCGAGCTGTGTGGTTCAATGTGTTCAGCCACCACTTTGTGGACGTCAATGCCATCGTGGACTTGTTGACCTCGTTCGACAATGCAGTCAACCCCGAGACCAGAGATCCAGCGGTGATGCAGGTCGCAAAACACATCGACAGGTCCGATACAACCTATAGATGCAAATAATAATGCAAAACAATGTTTGATGCGGTATAGAGATTTTATAATTTTCCCGAATACAACAAGTTCTTTTATGTAGAGATAATGTGAGAGCCTTTCTGGAAAACCGTTTTGCTGATGACAGGGACGGATCTAAGTTTTTCTCGAAAATTTTAAGCACTTTTTTTAATTTTTGGTGGACCAAATTGATTTTCCAAGCTCTTTTAAAACAGCATAAAGATCTTATTTGACAGAATTTTCTGTGCCGTATGGGTCTTTCTAAAAACAGGCCCAGAAAGCCGTTTTTGAGCATTTTTTAAATGATTCCGCGAAAAAAAAACGCATTTTTTTTTGCTCCCAATCAAAATAACTACAAATTGGTGCCAAAGGCGCCTTTAAAAAGTTAAGGGTTGGTCGGCCAAAGATGAATATCCTGAAATAGTTCTAAATAAAGAAAACAAAGGGAGTCGAATATCTGAGTCCCCCTTCCCCCAAAACCGCCACTAGTTGATGGAATAGTTAGAGAGAAAAAAAACGTCTTTATGACTATAATTTATTCTGCTGTATGACACTCAATCCTCATCATATTTTTGCAGGTACCTGTTGAGTGCGACCGAGTACAGGCAGCACCCTTTCTTCCGCCTGAGGGCCAATCTAGCCAAGAAGAAGGTCTTCCTGTTCTACTGTGGCAGGAGGTATGGTCTCTCAATCACCACCATCTACCTACAGCTCAAACTATGTTACATCATCATTGGTAAGTCTCAAACTATGTTACATCATCATTGTTGGGTAAGTCTCAAACTATGTTACATCATCATTGGGAAGTCTCAAACTATGTTACATCATCATTGTTGGGCAAGTCTCAAACTATTTTACATCATCATTGGGAAGTCTCAAACCATGTTACATCATCATTGGTAAATCTCAAACTATGTTACATAATCATTGTTAGGTAATCTCAAACTATTTTGCATTATCATTGGTAAGTCTCTAACTATGTCACATCATTATTTGTAAATCTCAAACTATGTTACATAATCATTGTTAGGTAATCTCAAACTATTTTGCATTATCATTGGTAAGTCTCTAACTATGTCACATCATCATTGGTAAATCTCAAACTATGTTACATAATCATTGTTAGGTAATCTCAAACTATTTTGCATTATCATTGGTAAGTCTCTAACTATGTCACATCACCATTTGTAAACCTCAAACTATGTTACATAATCAATGTTAGGTAAGTCTCAAACTATGTTACATTATCATTGGTAAGTCTCTAACTATGTCACATCATCATTTGTAAATCTCAAACTATGTTACCTCATCATTGTTAGCTAAGTCTCAAACTATGTTACATTGTCATTGGTAAGTCTCAAACTATTACATCATCATTGGTAAATCTCAAACTATGTTACATAATCGTTATTAGGTAAGTCTCAAACTATTTTGCATTATCATTGGTAAGTCTCTAACTATGTCACATCATCATTGTTAGGTAAGTCTCAAACTATGTTACAGTATCATTGGTAAGTCTCTAACTATGTCACATCATCATTTGTAAATCTCAAACTATGTTACCTCATCATGGTTAGGTAAGTCTCAAACTATGTTACATTATCATTGGGAAGTCTCTAACTATGTCACATCATCATTTGTAAATCTCAAACTATGTTACCTCATCATTGTTAGCTGAGTCTCAAACTATGTTACATCATCATTGGTAAATCTCAAACTATGTTACATAATCATTGTTGGGTAAGTCTCAAACTATGTTACCTTATCATTGGTATGTCTCTAACTATGTCACATCATCATTTGTAAATCTCAAACTATGTTACCTCATCATTGTTAGCTAAGTCTCAAACTATGTTACATTATCATTGGTAAGTATCAAACTATGTTACATCATCATTGGTAAATCTCAAACTATGTTACATAATCATTGTTAGGTAATCTCAAACTATTTTGCATTATCATTGGTAAGTCTCTAACTATGTCACATCACCATTTGTAAACCTCAAACTATGTTACATAATCATTGTTAGGTAAGTCTCAAACTATGTTACATTATCATTGGTAAGTCTCTAACTATGTCACATCATCATTTGTAAATCTCGAACTATGTTACCTCATCATTGTTAGCTAAGTCTCAAACTATGTTACATTGTCATTGGTAAGTCTCAAACTATTACATCATCATTGGTAAATCTCAAACTATGTTACATAATCGTTATTAGGTAAGTCTCAAACTATTTTGCATTATCATTGGTAAGTCTCTAACTATGTCACATCATCATTGTTAGGTAAGTCTCAAACTATGTTACAGTATCATTGGTAAGTCTCTAACTATGTCACATCATCATTTGTAAATCTCAAACTATGTTACCTCATCATTGTTAGCTGAGTCTCAAACTATGTTACATCATCATTGGTAAATCTCAAACTATGTTACATAATCATTGTTGGGTAAGTCTCAAACTATGTTACCTTATCATTGGTAAGTCTCTAACTATGTCACATCATCATTTGTAAATCTCAAACTATGTTACCTCATCATTGTTAGCTAAGTCTCAAACTATGTTACATTATCATTGGTAAGTCTCAAACTATGTTACATCATCATTGGTAAATCTCAAACTATTTTACATAGTCATTATTAGGTAAGTCTCAAACTATTTTGCATTAACATTGGTAAGTATCTAACCATGTCACATCATCATTGTTAGGTAAGTCTCAAACTATGTTACAGTATCATTGGCAAGTCTCTAACTATGTCACATCATCATTGGTAAATCTCAAACTATGTTACACAATCATTGTTATGTAAGATTCAAACTATGTTACATTATCATTGGTAAGTCTCTAACTATGACACATCATCATTTGTAAATCTCAAACTATGTTACCTCATCATTGTTAGCTAAGTCTCAAACTATGTTACATTATCATTGGTAAGTCTCAAACTATGTTACATCATCATTGGTAAATCTCAAACTATTTTACATAGTCATTATTAGGTAAGTCTCAAACTATTTTGCATTATCATTGGTAAGTATCTAACTATGTTACATAATCATTGTTAGGTAAGTCTCAAACTATGTTACATTATCATTGGCAAGTATCAAACTATGTTACATTATCATTAGTAAATCTCAAACTATGTTACATAATCATTATTAGGTAAGTCTCAAACTATTTTGCATTATCATTGGTAAGTCTCTAACCATGTCACATCATCATTGTTAGGCAAGTCTCAAACTATGTTACAGTATCATTGGCAAGTCTCTAACTATGTCACATCATCATTGGTAAATCTCAAACTATGTTACACAATCATTGTTAGGTAAGATTCAAACTATGTTACTTTATCATTGGTAAGTCTCTAACTATGTCACATCATCATTTGTAAATCTCAAACTATGTTACCTCATCATTGTTAGCTAAGTCTCAAACTATGTTACATTATCATTGGTAAGTCTCAAACTATGTTACATCATCATTGGTAAATCTCAAACTATTTTACATAGTCATTATTAGGTAAGTCTCAAACTATTTTGCATTATCATTGGTAAGTATCTAACTATGTTACATAATCATTGTTAGGTAAGTCTCAAACTATGTTATATTATCATTGGCAAGTCTCTAACTATGTCACATCATCATTTGTAAATCTCAAACTATGTTACCTCATCATTGTTAGCTAAGTCTCAAACTATGTTACATTATCATTGGTAAGTCTCAAACTGTGTTACATCATCATTTGTAAATCTCAAACTATGTTACATAATCATTGTTAGGTAAGTCTCATACTATGTTACATTATCATTGGTATGTCTCAAACTATGTTACAGTATCATTGGTAAGTCTCTAACTATGTCACATCATCATTTGTAAATCTCAAACTATGTTACCTCATCATGTTTAGGTAAGTCTCAAACAATGTTACATTATCATTGGGAAGTCTCAAACTATGTTAAAACATCATTGGTAAATCTCAAACTATGTTACATCATCTTTGGTAAGTCTCAAACTATGTTAAATTATCATTGGTAAGTCTCTGACTATGTCACACCATCATTGTTAGGTAAGTCTCAAACTATGTTACAGTTTCATTGGTAAGTCTCTAACTATGTCACATCATCATTTGTAAATCTCAAACTATGTTACCTCATCATGGTTAGGTAAGTCTCAAACTATGTTACATTATCATTGGGAAGTCTCTAACTATGTCACATCATCATTTGTAAATCTCAAACTATGTTACCTCATCATTGTTAGCTGAGTCTCAAACTATGTTACATCATCATTGGTAAATCTCAAACTATGTTACATCATCATTGGTAAATCTCAAACTATTTTACATAGTCATTATTAGGTAAGTCTCAAACTATTTTGCATTATCATTGGTAAGTATCTAACCATGTCACATCATCATTGTTAGGTAAGTCTCAAACTATGTTACAGTATCATTGGCAAGTCTCTAACTATGTCACATCATCATTGGTAAATCTCAAACTATGTTACACAATCATTGTTAGGTAAGTCTCAAACTATGTTAAACTATCATTGGTAAGTCTCTGACTATGTCACACCATCATTGTTAGGTAAATCTCAAACTATGTTACCTCATCATTGTTAGCTAAGTCTCAAACTATGTTACATTATCATTGGTAAGTCTCAAACTATGTTACATCATCATTGGTAAATCTCAAACTATTTTACATAGTCATTATTAGGTAAGTCTCAAACTATTTTGCATTATCATTGGTAAGTCTCTAACCATGTCACATCATCATTGTTAGGCAAGTCTCAAACTATGTTACAGTATCATTGGCAAGTCTCTAACTATGTCACATCATCATTGGTAAATCTCAAACTATGTTACACAATCATTGTTAGGTAAGATTCAAACTATGTTACTTTATCATTGGTAAGTCTCTAACTATGTCACATCATCATTTGTAAATCTCAAACTATGTTACCTCATCATTGTTAGCTAAGTCTCAAACTATGTTACATTATCATTGGTAAGTATCTAACTATGTTACATAATCATTGTTAGGTAAGTCTCAAACTATGTTACATTATCATTGGCAAGTATCAAACTATGTTACATTATCATTAGTAAATCTCAAACTATGTTACATAATCATTATTAGGTAAGTCTCAAACTATTTTGCATTATCATTGGTAAGTCTCTAACCATGTCACATCATCATTGTTAGGCAAGTCTCAAACTATGTTACAGTATCATTGGCAAGTCTCTAACTATGTCACATCATCATTGGTAAATCTCAAACTATGTTACACAATCATTGTTAGGTAAGATTCAAACTATGTTACTTTATCATTGGTAAGTCTCTAACTATGTCACATCATCATTTGTAAATCTCAAACTATGTTACCTCATCATTGTTAGCTGAGTCTCAAACTATGTTACATCATCATTGGTAAATCTCAAACTATGTTACATCATCATTGGTAAATCTCAAACTATTTTACATAGTCATTATTAGGTAAGTCTCAAACTATTTTGCATTATCATTGGTAAGTATCTAACCATGTCACATCATCATTGTTAGGCAAGTCTCAAACTATGTTACAGTATCATTGGCAAGTCTCTAACTATGTCACATCATCATTGGTAAATCTCAAACTATGTTACACAATCATTGTTAGGTAAGATTCAAACTATGTTACTTTATCATTGGTAAGTCTCTAACTATGTCACATCATCATTTGTAAATCTCA